GTGTGTGTGTGTGTGTGTGTGTGTGTGTGTGTGTGTGTGTGTGTGTGTGTGTGTTGGATAGAGAAAAAAAGAAAGAAAGAGACAGAGAGAGTCTGCCCTGCGTTAGCTTCATGTGACAGAGCTGGATGTAAGTAGAGAGAGAGAGAGAGAGAGAGAGAGTGAAGGAGACCAAGAAAGAGAGAGAGAGAGAGAGAGAGAGAGAGGGAGACCAAGAAAGAGAGAGAGAAAGAGAAAAAGAAAGAGAGAGAGAACACGAGACAGAAGTGAGAAAAGGAGAAAGATGAGAAAGAGAGAGAGAGAATAAAGAAAAGGAGGGGGAGATAGAGTGAGAGGCAAAGAGAGATATGGGAAGGAAAGAGTAGGATGGAGAGAGGAGAAAAAAGAAAGAAAGAAAGAAGAAAGGAAGGGAGAGAAAGATGGGGAGGGAAGGAGAGAGCGAGAGATTAGAAGGGAGAATAAGAAAGAGTGAGAGATGAGAGAAATAGGCAAAGATAGAGGCAGACAGATAGATAGAGAGAGATGAAGGAAAAAGAGAGTGAAAGACAGAGAGAAAGTGGGAGAAAAAGAGAAAAAGGGGTGAGAGAGATGTGGAAAGAAAGGGATAAGGAAAAAGAGAGAGAAGAGAAAGAGGGAGAGAATGGAGAGTGAAAAGGAAGGGGAGAGAGAGTGAGAGGCAAAGAGAGATATGGAAAAGAAAGAGTGGGATGGAGAGAGGAGAAAAAGAAAGAAAGAAAGAAAGAAAGAAAGAAAAGAAAGAAAGAAAGAAAGAAAGAAAAAAAAATGGAGAGAAAGATGGGGAGGGAAAGAGAGAGCGAGCGCGAGAGAGAGATTGGAAGGGAGAAAAAAGAGTGAGACATGAGAGAAATAGAGATAGATAAATAGAGAGAGAGGTGGGAGAAGGAAAAAGGGGTGACAGATGTGGGAAGAGAAAGGGAGAGGAAAAAGAGAAAGAGAGAATGGAGAGAGAAAAGAATGGTGAGAAATAAAGTGAGAGGCAAAGAGAGATATGGGAAGGAACAAGAAGAAAAAGAAAGAAAGAAAGAAAGAAAGAAAGAAAGATATGGGGAGGGAAAAAGAGAGAGCAAGAGAGAGAGTGAGAGAGTGTGAGAAGAGAAGGGAGGAAAAGAAAGAGTGAGAGATAGAGAAATAGAGAAAGATGGAGACAGACATATAGATAAATAGAGAGAGATGAAGGAGAAAAGAGAGTGAAAGATAGAGAGAGATGGGAGAAAAAGAGAAAAAGAGAGAGGAGAAAGAGAGAAAGAATCGAGAAAAAAGGAGGGCGAGAGATAAAGTGAGAGGCAAAGAGAGATATGGGAAGAAAAGAGTGGGATAGAGAAAGGAGAAAAAGAAAGAAAGAAAGATAGAGAGACAAATAGAGAAAGATAGACAGACAGATAGATAAATAAATAGAGAGATGAAGGAGAAAAGAGAGTGAAAGATAGAGAGAGAAGGGGTGAGAGAGATGTGGGAAGAGAAATGGAGAGAGAAAAGGAGGGCGAGAGATAGAGCGAGAGGCAATGAGAGATATAGGAAGGAAAGAGTGGGAGGAAAGAGGAGGAAAAGAAAGAAAAGAGAGAGAGAGAGAGAGAGAGAGAGAGAGAGAGAGAGAGAGAGAGAGAGAGAGAGAGAGAGAGAGATAGAGCTGCTGTTTCCAACAGAGGCCTCACTATCCTGCTTCAAAAACCTCCTAAAGCACAAGAACACTATTCTGTCTCTTCTCCTTCAAGCCTGTCACTCTCTCTCTCTCTCTTTCTCTACCCCCTTCCCATCACACTCTCTCTCTCTCTCTCTCCATCTCTCTCCCTCCTCCCTCCCTCGTTCCCTCTGATCTTTCTCTCTCCCTCCTTCTCCCCCTCTCTCTGCCTTCATCTTTGCTTCCCTGCTCTCTTGTTATGGGACTTCATTCTCTCTCTCTCTCTCTCTCTCTCTCTCTCTTTCCATCTCTCAATCTCTTCCTCCCCTGCTTCCCACCCACACACTCTCGTCTCTCCCCCTCTCCCCTTTCCTCTCTCCCTCTCTTTCTTTTTCAAAGCCCCATGAATGTCATTTCATCATCACACACTTGTCTTCATCGCCCCGGTTTATTTTTTTTAGCTATATTTTTCCCCTCTGTTTCTCCTCTTCGTTCTCCGCTCCGCCGTTCTCCCACTCTCTTTTGCCTCTTTCATCTCTCCTCTCTCCTCTCCTCCTCTAGCGCTCCTTTCCTCCTCTCTCCCTCTCTCTCTCTCCACCGTTCTGAGCCACACAATTGGATTAGCTGGATGTGTCTCTATTTAAACCTCAGCAATTAGAGACGGCAGCAGTGCGAGAGCGGTCCTCACTCACAGTCGCGCTCGCGCAGCGGGGGGGCACACAACAAACAAAGAAGGAAAGACACATACACACATAACAGAGCGCACAAGATCATATTAACACACAGACTCACACACATGGATATTTACACTAATAATGACGAATGTTTCAGTAAAACAGACGCAGAAAATCCACAAAGCGAGTGCTTTCGTTCTGCGCCACTTCCATGGTTTTCTGTACGGCTATGCAGCAAATGCTTTTGTGCTAGAACCCTTAAACCCTTAAAGGAACAGTGCGGTGAAAAATCAAGTTTACACAATTTTCCACTTACCTCAAAGGCAGTCCAAACCGGAGTCCAAATTCTGCTTCTTCAGTTTTGAACTGAAGCTATGAGGATAACATTGCAAACAAGCACTGGAACTCAATAGTCACCCAAATAGCCCAAGTTGTTTCTATGAAAAATACATTACAAAAACGCCTCTCAATGCACTCAAATCAAATCCAGGTTTCCATTAAGGTCATACAGACTTGTTAATGTGGTTTAGAGAAGGGTACTCAAACCTTTCCACCCCAGGGTTCAACTATTCTTCACTGCAAAGCAAGAAGGTCCACAGGAAAAACTTTTTTGCTTGAAAAAAATCATTTTTGGGATTCTTTTCAATGCAACACAATTTGTGTATACCTGATGTGTATCAGCAAACATTAACCCTCTCAGGTTGACAATGTCATATGTGACATCAAATAACATCGTACATAAAATCAAAAATTAAAATAATAGCATTTTTCCCAGAAGGCTAGTGTTTTTCTGTTTCAGTGAGGGCTGTGTTGCAACTGTATCCCTTTCAGAAGCTTTGTAATCCAGCTTTGAACTGCCCTGTCTTTTTGGATACTTTGCAAAATAAATTCCTAATAAAAGAGTTAGTGTTGTTTTTGGGCCTTGGATCAAATCTGTCGACCGATCAGAGGCTGCGTTCCTGACTTGTCGACCAATCCGAGACTGTGATTCTGACTTGTTGATCAAACAGAGGCTGTGTTTCTGACTTGTCAACCAATCAGAGGCCGTGTTCCTGACATGTTGACCAATCAGAGGCTGCGTTCCTGACTTATCAACCAATCAGAGGCTGCATTACTGACTTGTCGACCAATCAGAGACCTTGTTACTGATTTGTCATCCAGTCAGAGACTGTGTTCCTGATTTGTTGACCAATCAGAGGCTGTGTTCCTGACTTGTCAACCAATCAGAGACTGTGATTCTGACTTGTCAACCAATCAGAGGCAGTGTTCCTTACTTGTTGATCAATCAGTGGCTGTGTTCCTGACTTATCGACCAATCAGAGGCTGTGTTTCTGACTTGACAACCAATCACAGGCCATGTTTCTGACTTAGTGACTATGAGAGAAGTCTCAGTGATGTATTTTCGCAGAAACGATTTAGGCTATCTGGGTGACTATAGAGTACTAGTGTTTGTTAGCTACATTAGCCTCTTTGCTCCAGTTCTAAAATCAAGAAGCAAAATTTGGACTCCAAACATTCTTGGCTGATCAGCCACATCTGGGTTTAGGGGAAAACTGAGTGACTTTGATTTGTTACACAACTATTCCTTTAAACTTAAAGGGGAATTCCACCAATTTTATTAAAACTTCTGCATAATTAAATAGTTACATTGTATTCAAAGGATCTTTTAATTTTAAAATAAAATGCTAAAGCTCCAAAGTGAGAGCTGCGACCGATGACAACATCTTAACAGAATGAAATTAAGCCCAAAAAAGAGAATTAGGAACTAAATGTTAATGAATAAAGTAGATTTCTTTACTACTTCACTGATATACTTGAAATGAACTGTTATCATTTGAGAACAAAGTACAAATCCACCCAAATTTTACTTGAGTGCATGGAACTGAATAAATGGAAGTAATTACTAACCACTCCTAGTCACAACCACAAGACGTCAATGTTTTTTATCATCCTGGGGGTCCCACAAAGTCGTAAACATGTGAATTTACTTGATTTAAATGTGTACATTTATTAATTTTGACATTAATAAAACATATAAGCACCATAATATCATTTGTCATATTCATGTGGAAATTATGTACACATTTAAATCAAGTAAATACAATTAAACAGATTACATAAAAATGTACAGGCAACAATTAGCGATATGCAAATGAGATGGTAATTGGTGTGAATGACATCCTAATTTGCAAATTATATTCTAATTGCTAATTTGTATCTACTGGCCTCTATTCACTGTTAGCCACATTAGCACATTTGGTAAGGCTATTCCTTTAGGCATGCCATCCAAGAGACATTACTGCAGAATTCCAATCAGAACAGCCAGCTCAAGAGGGGATTGTGGGAAATGTAGTTCAAAAGACTAAACAGAGGGGTTTTTGCACCACACGTCACAGGAAACACACAAAACAGCCTGAAAAGCTATCCAGCAAGATGAAAAAGAAAAATAAACAGTGCAGCAAGAAATCGAAATGTTATTTCAAGAAAAAGGTTCAAAATAGCACAAAATCACAGGCAAAAACAGCATTTTATCAGACACCTATTCTATAACTGTTAAAGCAAAGCCTATGTAAGTGTGTACACTTAAAAACATAAGACACAATCCAGAGCACATTAAAACGCAACTACATCCCCCAAAAAGAGTCTAAAAAATACGACAAAAAGGAGAAAAAAACATGCAAGAAAAATACCTTCATCCCTCGGCCTGTTCATCGAAGACTCATCGTGTTTTTTTGTGAGCGGACCTGGGGTTAAGACAAAAAGGGGGGAAAGAGAAAAGACAAAATTCAAAAAGAGGTTTTACTACGCTAAAAAAAAATTAAAAACTGAAAACACAAAAATATTCAAAACAGAAAAACAAGAAAGGCTAAAAACGACAAACAGGCAAAAGACCACGAGTCTATTTTTTATTCCGAACTGAAGACTCAAAAAAACAAAAAAACGAGGACGGAAAGAGACACACAGACAGAGAACTTAAACAGCAGCACCTGTTAGAACCTGAAGACCACCAACACTGACTGACTCGGACGGTTCTTTTAAGAACCACATGTGTGAATGAGATGTGTGTAGAACCTTTTTACAGTTTAATGCACTTTCAATGTCAAGGTTCATCCATATGTCAAGAACCATCTAGGAACCTTTTTTTAAAGAGGGTAGAAACACACACACACACACACACATACACACATATACACAAACACACACACACACACACATACACACACACACACACACATACACACATATACACAAACACACACACACACATATACACACACACACACACACAGTCTCAAGTCACATGCTGAGTGACTCACAACTTGATTTGAAGTTGCCCTTAAATAACTCACAATTCAACCTGGACTCGTCCTTAAGTGACTTGTGACTCAAAACAGACACTCCCTTAAGTGATGTGAGACTCAGACTCGCCTTTAAATGACTTATGACTCTTAAATGAGACTCGCAACTCGATATAGACACTCCCTTAAGTGATGTGCGACACAGAATCTCCATGGAAATGACTCATGACTCAATTCAGAACTGTGCGACTCAGACTCACCCTTAAATGACTCGCAATTTGATTCAGAACTCCCTTAAGTAATGTGTGACTCACCTTTAAATAACTTATGAATCAAATAGGAGTCACCCTTTAATGATTCGCAACTCGATTCAGATACTTCCTTAAGTGATGTGTGACTCAGACTCATCCTTAAAGGACTCAAGACTCAATTCAGAACACACTTAAGTGATGTGTGACTCAGATTCACCCTTAAATGACTCGCAATTTGACTCAGACACGCCCTTAAGTAACGATCGACTCAGGCTCGCCTTTAAATAATTAATGAATCAACTTCGAGTCACCCTTTAATGACTCGTGACCTGATTCAGACACTCCTTTAAGTGATGTGTGATTCAGAATCACCCTTACATGACTCATGACTCGATTCAGAACTCCCTTAAGTGATGTGTGACTCAGACTCGCCCTTAAATGACTCACAACTCGATTCAGACACTCCCTTAAGTGATGTGTGTCTCAGACTCCCCTTTAAATGACTTATGAATCAAATTAGAGTCACCCTTTAATGACTCATAACTCGATTCAGAGACTCCCTTAAATAATGTGTGACTCAGACTTGCCCTTCAATGACTCACAACTCGTATTAGACACTCCCTTAAGTGATGTGTGACTCAGACTCGCCCTTAAATGACTTATGAATCAAATTAGAGTCACCCTTAAATAACTCCTGACTTGATTCAGAGACTCCCTTAAATGATGTGTGACTCGCATTCACCCTTAAATGACTCGCGACTCAACAAGAACTCGCCTTTAAATGACTCGCGACTCAAACCTGACTCTCCCTTGTGACTCAACTTGAATGACTCTCGACTCAACAAGGCCTCTCCATTAAATGACTCACAACTGCATTTTTACCTGACTCACGACTCGACTCAGACTCACCCTTAAATAAACCTGGTTCCAGCTTTAAGCACTGCAGCTATTAATGGGCATCCTCAGACTGACCCGCGTGTGTGTCCACTCCTTTACACAGTACTGCTATTAGCCTTAGCATATTAGCATTAGCATTAGCGAGGCAAGCTCCAGCTCTAAGTGCTTTGGCTATTAACGGGCATTATCAGACTGACCCGCGTGTGTGTGTGCATGGCAGTGCCGCTGTAAAGGAGCAGATACGGATCCGCTTCATTATTTACTCTCTTTATCTTTCAGGGGCTACACACACACACACACACTCACACACACACACACACACACACACACACTCACACACACACACACACCACACACTCACACACACACACACACACACACAGCCCTCTCCATCACTGTCTGCACTGATTCAGACAGACAGCACATGTAACACACTCTCACTCTCTTATACACACACGCGTACACACCCCTCTCCATCACTGCCACAGTAATCGGAGTGGACAGCCGACAGACCGCGCTCACGCACAGTCTTGTTCCAGGCCTGGACACAACACACATGCACTTGTTTTTATGCCTTGTAAGGACATACAGTCCTATATATGACCCACAAGTATATCTATAGACCTTATTGTGTTACACACAGTACTATGCAAAGGTCAGAGACCCCCTTCATTTATTTACCGTCAAGTCAAAACGGCCATTAAGTACTTTTTAGGAGGAGATTTCATGGATGGAGTTAAAAAAAATGATTAAAAAAGATTAAAAGCTACAGAGAAAATGTGACTCCTAACAACCACCTGGAAGACCTGGTAGCCCCCAAAACTGCCCCCATCAGATAAACAGCACTTAAAGCCTTCATCTGTGAGAGAGAGGAGAAAATCAAGCTGCTTCAGATCTGAAAACATCCACAGGGTGTTTCTGTCCATCCTTCCACTGTGAGAAGACGACTCAGCGCTGTGGGTCTGAAAGGATGTGTAGCTGTTCAAGAAGAACCTCACTGAGAAAAGGAGACGGACACATCAAACAAAGAAGCTGAACGATGGACTGACCACCCCAGAGTCCAGACCTCAACACCACTGAATGTGTTTGGATTATTTCAGCACGGAGTCCTGCTGGTGACATCCCGTCTAAATAAAAATAATGTGTGGCCACGACTTAGTAAGGTGTGGGAACGAGATAATTGAGTTATGGCCACGACTTAGTAAGACATGGGAAAGAGGTCCCAATGTGTGGCAACAACTTAGTAAGCGATGGAAACGAGATCCTAATGTGTGGCCACGACTTAGTAAGGCGTGGGATCAAGATTCTAATGTGTGGCCACGACTTAGTAAGGCATGGTGAACCATCAGCTCTCACAAGAGTAAAGTATGGTGTTCCACAGGGCTCTGTCTTAGGACCCATGTTATTTACCTTATATATGCTACCACTAGGTACCATCATTAGAAAACATGGCATCAGTTTCCACTGCTATGCCGATGATACACAATTATATATTTCAGCTAAACCAGAGGACAAAACTGAACTTAATAAGATAGAGGACTGTGTAAAAGACATTAAAGACTGGATGTCAAGTAACTTCCTCTTACTAAATTCGGACAAAACCGAAGTCCTTCTTCTTGGTCCAAAAGCTGTTAGGGATAATCTGCCTACGTTTACTCTTAATCTCGATAGTTTCTCAACTGCACCAGGCACATCTGTAAAAAGTCTTGGTGTCACGATTGATCCCAGTCTGGCCTTCGATGAGCACATTACCAATATTACCAGAATAGCTTTCCTCCACCTGCGTAACATCGCTAAATTAAGAAATGCACTGTCGCTACAGGACGCAGAAACGTTAGTTCACGCCTTCATCACGTCCAGGTTAGATTACTGTAACGCTCTGCTTTCTGGTTGTTCCAGCCAAAACCTTAACAAGCTTCAGTTAGTCCAGAACGCTGCAGCCAGAGTTCTCACCAAAACCAGGAAATTCGACCACATTAGCCCAATTTTGTGTATCTTACATTGGTTGCCAGTTAAATTCCGCATTGAGTACAAGATTCTTCTACTGACGTATAAAGCTCTGAATGGCCTTGATCCTCAGTACCTCAGTGACCTTATTTCCTATTATCAACCGACACGCCCACTTAGACCACAAGGTGCTGCTCATTATTAGTACCCAGAATAAATAAAGTTACGTCAGGGGGAGGAGCCTTTTCATACCACGCCCCCCAGCTTTGGAATAACCTACCAGTCTGTGTTCGGGACTCAGACACAGCCTCCATCTTTAAGTCTAGGCTAAAAACTTACCTGTTTAGTCGAGTCTTTGGTTAATTTGTTTTACTAACTATGGATTTCTACAGGATGTCATCAGCACTTCTCTCCATACTTCAGAATATAATGAACCAGCTTCTAAGACTGAACTTTGGAGGTGAGTCTGCAGATTCTTTGAGGAACTGAAAGTGAGTCTCCTGAAAAAGAATGGAAGCTGGAATAAAGGGAGAGAGTGACTCACTGAACACTCAGACAGCTGAGATTAGATTTAGATGTTGAGGCTTCCGTGTGAATGTCTGTTAAATATAGATTTCATATTTCTTATATATGTATGTAAGTATGTATATGTATTTGCTAAATGGAGCAAGAAAAACTGTCTAAAATAACTTAGAATAAAATCTTATTACATTAACTTACATTGAAAGTTAAGAAGGTTTTTACAAGACTTTGTCCCAACTCTGACTATATAAATATTTATATGTAATAAGAATTTTCTAAACCTAACTCTTATGTTAAAGGACAATTTTTGAAATTTTCTGCATAATTCAGTTATTTAGATGTAAACAGAGAGATTCAGAGTGGTTTAGTGTGAAATGGTTCAGATGTCTTTACAGTGGTGGTGATAGGAACCAGGGGTCGCTATGACTACAACACAAATATAGACATTTTATTTACTATCCAAAACCACCAGTGAACCTACACGAGTCTTCTGAGTTTATATGGAATGTTGATGATGGAAAATAGTGGAAAATCTGAAATAATAAGTTTTCTTTGGGGACTATTTTGCCTCACAACACCCTGCATATTATGTATCCCTCCACCATGAATGGATTTTAAGTTCTCAAATCTATCATAAAACAGTGTCTCAGTCATCAGGCAGTGAATTCATAACCATTTCATGTAGTAACTTTCTGTGAGGGAGCTTTTAGAGGTGGACGTCTGGTTCCTATCACCACCACTGTGAACAATTCTGACTCGGTAAGTTTCTCTAGAACTCCCTTTATGCTTGGGAACCAAAAATATTTAGCTCTTTCAGACGTCTGATCA